TTGGAGCGTCTTGGGTGTCTCTCGGGTTGACTCGCGGGGCCCTCTGAGGGCGCTCTTCGGAGCCTTGGGGCGCTCTTGGGGCCAACTTGGAGGAGATCGATGAAAGAAGTGGGGTTCCTTAGTGTGGGTCCTCCCTCGGGGGCCCAATCAATCGCCTCTTGGACCCTTCTTGGGGCGCCCCTGGAGCGCTCTTAGCCGTTTTTGGGGCGTCTTGGGGCTCTCCTGGTCCTCTGTTGAAGGTCTCTGGGGCCATCATGGAGCCATCTTGAGGCCTCGGAAGGCGATCGGAAGCGAACGGGCGAAAAAGCAAAACACATTGATTGCTGTGAGGTCTCAAAAGGATGTGGGCCTCTTCGGGGCCTCCTTGGGAGCTCTTTGGTGACGTGGAGCCGTCTTGGGGCGGCTTGGGGCCCCCTTAGAACATCGTGGAAGCCATCTTGAAGAAATTTTGGCTATATTGAGCCATCGTGAAGGCCATCTGGGGCTCTTTGAAGCCCTCATGGGACCGTCTTGGGCGAAGCAGTAATTACCTCTGACACTTCGCGACCGCCCCCGTCCAGGTCCAGGGGAGAGGGTAGGGGGAGGGGTCAATCTACCCACCCACCCGCAAGCCGTCAAACTCACACCCACCCGCCCTCCCAACACATAAGTAACTCCCGAGCCTGAGCATGTTCAGCGGTCGCCTTTGGATGGACAGCAACTGGGAACCAAAGCCGGCCCCAGGTGTGCGACGCTTGGGCGAGGTGCGCCACGCGTGCCAGGGGCGCAACGCGCGCCAGGCACCCCTGGGGCCCGAGCGTTCCAGGCACGCCTGATGCGCCAGATGCGCGGCGTGCTCTGAGTGCGCCAGGTCTGCCGTACACTCCAGCCGCGCCGGGTGCGCCACGTTCAGGGCACGTGCAGAGTGCGTCAGCTGCGCCTGCGCACATGACAGCGCGCATCGGGAAACATGTCGGCCCCAACAATCTTTGTCGAAAACCAAGGCCCATCATTGTGTCTGGTGGGCCTGCGCACAGCAGGCCACGCGCCATCACCCCCGCCGTCTTTGTAAAAAACCAGTTGGCAGTGATCGCGGGGCGGCCGCGCACGATCCAGATTTAGCCGCGCGGCGCATGATGCATTCATTATTTTTTGTCAGGGAAGGTAGCCCTGCGCACAGCAGGGAATATGCTGACCCCCCCGCCGTCCCTGTCAAAACAATTCAACGTGTTCGCGGGCCTCGCGAACATGACTCCATACTTTGCCCACAAGTGTACTTTGTATTGGTTTTTTTGACGGGGATGGTGGGGGAGGGCCGCATCGGCTTGGCCGCGCATGCTCCAAATGTGGAGGCAAAGTGCGTTTTGTTTTGTTTCTTGGTGTGGATGGTGTGTGGGTGCCCCGCATGGGGTCGGCATGGTTCCGGGTGTACTAATCTGGAACAGTGATCAAAACACCTTCCTAGATGGCAAGCCGTCTAGCGAGCCTGAGCATGTTCAGCAGTCGTCTTTGGATCTCGGGGCACTGTGTCCAGGCCCGTGCGGAGCTGCGAGGCTTAACTTTGGAGCAGTTTTCCCTCCGTTCCCTTCCTCCCTCCTCCCTCCCTTCCCGCACCCCTGGTCCTTTGCATGTTCATTGTTGCAACGATAGATTTGTTTCAACAGTTGGGTGGTACCCTTAACCAGGGGTCTGCTCGCCATACCTTGTCTGGCGCTAAGCAAAGGATGCTGGCGCGCGTCGCGGCCAGATTGTGTTATTCTCCCTCTCCTCTCCCTCTTTCTCCTCGCCTCCCCCCTCCCCCCCCAGCCCGGGTCCGGAGCGATTTTTTGTTCGTTGCTCGGAGCTGTACCTGGCCTTAGTCGCGTGCTTTATATAAATGGCTGTTTGACCATCGGGGTTGCGCACGCAACGCGTTTGTCCAGGTTCCCTTTTTTCCTCCTCTCCCTCCTCTTCCTCCCTTGGTTGGTGGTGAAGATTCTCCGGCTGGCCACTGCTGCGAATTTCCGTTTTAGTGTTTCAATGGGTATGTCCAATGTTGTTTGCATAGCCCCCGTGAGGGCAAGCGGGTTTTTTGCTTGGGATGCGTCAGTTATTTTTGGCTTCGTTTGCCGTTTCAAAAATTGTCCGCGTCAAACATTTATTTTTTGCCGTCGTTTGTGCGGCGTTTCGCTCTTGAGAGGGTCTACCTCCCCGAACATTTGGGCCTCTTTGATGCCGCGGTGGGCCGATAGGTTTTTTCATTCAGATTTCGGGGTGACACGTGTCACCCTTGTGCTTTCTCTTAATGGATGGATGCATGATGACGACGCAAGACTCAACGTCGGGCCTATGGGACCCGAACGCGCCCTGTACCTGAGCTTCTCGTTGGCTTCGAGGACCTGTGGGGTGGCCTGCCTTCCCGTCTCGACTAGGTGTTCCGGGGCCAAGCCCACATATTCTAGGTTTGCAACTTCCGACCAATATCTGGCAACGTGATCAACGAATATGACTGGCAGTTGTTTCCTGGTCATGCTCTTGATTG